AGGTTTTCTAAATGTTAAAAAGAGCCATAAGAAAGGACGCATAAAAAAATTTCCACAGCTAAAGGTCAATGTTTAAGCTCTCCTTTTAGAATGGTAAAATATCCCTTTGTTTCGTTATTCGAGTATAGAGGTTCGAAATGCCAAAAATTCTTTTTTGACACTTTAAAGCCCAGATTTCTCAGTTCTCAGTGTTATTATTAGCAAAATTTAATCAGTAATTTTATTTGGTTTAAGACCAGTTTTTTGTGAAAAATTTATTTAAAATAGATAATATGTACAGCTCATATTCCGGCCAATTTTAATTATTTCTTTGTTTTCTATTGTAAGATTATTAATTAGAAATACTATGAAGAATGCAAAATGCTGTTGTGTACTACATATGTATGTATATTAGGGTGGTCCAAAAATGCCTTTGAAAAAGTAAAGTCGGAATTTTACTGCTCTCACCTCCTAGGATTGCTCCATACCGAAAAAATTTTCAAAATTAATATTCTTCGATCGGAAAACTCCGTTTCTCTACCGAAGACTCCCAATAATAATACCCAATTGTTTATATCGCTAGNCAACTTACACGATGAACTATAATAATATTCCGACCAACAACAACACTTACTGGACCAACAACAACACTTACTGGACATCCGGCGCGGAGAACAATTAACGAGATAATGAGAAATTGACGAAACGAGTTGCTTACTTTTAACAGATTTTTCACAGAAAACTAGTTTTCGCACGTAAGCTCCCTTTTCGTAGACCAGGTCACATATAACAATTTTTTCATAGTAACTATATTTTATATGTCCGCCAAAATACAATCGTGGAACCCATAAAAAGTCTTTAATATTAAAAAAAATGGTTAAATAACCAATTGGGTATTATTGATTTTCAAGAATTCTATATCATTTCTACGAAAAGTTGGGTTTTTCTCATATAAAATAAATTTAAAACTTTGCGCGCTTTGAGGCACCTCTAATTAATTTTTGTTTTTGATTTCTGAATAAAAAATAGGGGTATATTTTTTCAGTATAGAATAATCCTAGGGGGTGACGGCATTAAAGTTCCGACTTTATTTTATTTATTTTTTTACCACCCTAATGTATACGTACCATGTTGGGGAATGTGTGCTAAATAGCACACCCGCAGAGTACATACACTGACTCCAAAAAGTGACCACATGTTGATTTTTATAAATATTCGCTATGTTTTTCGAACTAATTATTTTTTTTTTTTGTTATTTTTCTATAAAATACCTTCAATCTTTAACCAAAACCATATAAATCACATTTTCTAATTTCATAAAAAATTTAACAAAATTCAAAAATTTTCATCAAATTTTCAACTTTTTTATCACGGGTGAGCAATTTTATAGTCCATACAATTTTAGTCTAATGGAGTGCAAGTTTCAGCCGCCTAAAAATCCCATTGATTTTTGAGAATTTGTTTTTGGAGACAGCTTTTGCGTTTTTTTTTTTTATATAACAACGCAATTTACAAAACCTGGCCTTGACTTTTGGAAATTTAGTTGCGAACGGTCTCCCCCATTTTATTTCATAAGAAATTTATGCATATATGGAAAGAAGTGCAAAAATCGGCGCCCAAAATTAATCTCAAAAATCAACGGGATTTTTCAGCCGGTTGAAGCTTGCATTTCATCTGACTAAAATTGGAGTGCAATGGGGTATAGTCATTGCGCTGGGTATGCAGTTACAGTTGCATGGCTATACTCAATCCCGACTCTTGCGTCCTCGTTCGCGCACTCTGGGCAACGTGAGCAACCCATGTGCGAGATGCGGTAACCAATC